GAAAAAAAAAAAAAAAAAAAAAAAAAACAAGATGCCAACTTTTCAAATTGAGAAGTTCGATGACTACACGCATCAAGACCCAGTCCTCTGGTGGGAAGGTTTCACGACGCAACTTCGGATTCTGCAAGTCGCCAAGCACGCGCATGTCGGCGCCCTATTTCTTAACTCAAAGGGCGGATGCCAGATCTGGTTACGCCACCTGGCCACCCACGGCGTCGACGTCTCAGATCTGAAAGACAAGATCACATGGGAAGAGTTAACACGACTATGGAAGAAGCGGTTCATCGTGGACGACGCACCTGCACTCGCCATCAACCGTCTCTTCGCCATGACGCAAGGCAACACAGCAACACGTGACTGGCTCACGGAATGGCAAAAGATCGCAGCAACACCCGATCTCGACTTACCATTTCCGCATCTGCGCCACGAATTCTATAACAGGTCATGTGCTACATTGAGCCTCGCACTTGGTGATCGCGAGCAATATGCAACCTTCGCTGAAATCATTGACAAGGCGAGGGAGATCATCAAGACCAACAGGGCGGCGGCACACGAGAAGTCAACGTGGCAGCCAACCTATGTGGAGAAGGTGAGAACTGGTCCGCGACAGCAGCAGTTCGCTGCAGTCCAATCGGACAACACTGTGGAAGACCCGGCAGCCACCCAAGTGTCACGTGAGGGAGATCAGGTGGCTGCTGTCCAGCCGCGAAGCAACAACAATCCCCGAGTGAACGGGAAGGCGAAACCGGCATCGCAGGCCGGAAACGGACAGCCAGTACCATGGGTCAAGTTCAACTTGACCGAGGCCGAGTACAAGTACCGCGGCCGTTACGGCTGCTGTTACTGGTGCAACAGCACCAAGCACAAGACCTCCCTTTGCCAGGATCAGGCCAAGGAGGATGTGCGGCCTCGTCTTAACTCGGGAAACTGAGTGTCGCGGGAGGTGAGGCGACTCCACCTCCCACTCCGCCGGATTCGGCCGCCTTGCTAGCGGCCTCCTACACATCTAGGGAGGATGCGAATGTCGTAAGTTCTCGGTATGCTTACGAAGACTATGCTGTCCACTTGGTCCCACCGCTGGACCAACCGCTCCACGTGCAACAATCTACCGCATGCACGGTTTCATCACCATCGGCAACCGATTCGGCAGCTTCGCCGCCATCTACAGCCGGGGATTCAACGTCATGGTCAAGACTTTAAGAGCTCGACCCGTTGACATTTGCGGACTTCCAATGGATGCCCCTTCCCCGGTCCGTTCGATTGTCGAAACCGCATTGCAACGTGCTCAAGGCACAATTGCGGGATTACTTGCACACTGCAGTACCAACTCCGTTGATGGACGCCGGAGTAGAGGTTGTCGACCTTCACGCCTACATTGCGAAGATCGACCGCGAGTTCAAGACGCAACGATACGACGATATCGATGCACCATTGCTATATGTACGCATTCAGATCAGAGAGGCGACCTGCAACGCTTTGATCGATTGCGGAGCATCTCGCAACTACATGAGTCAGGACTTCATGGTACGAGCTGGCCTTGGCCCACGAGTCCGAAGGAAGTCCCATCCCACGCAAGTCACGTTGGCGGACGGTCACACGCACAAGTCAATCGACCGGTGCATTGATGACGTCCCGGTGTACTTTGCCCCTCACGCAAGTGAGGCGGTGTCCTTTGACATTCTGGACACCAAATTCGACATGATCTTGGGCATGTCATGGCTACGAAGTGAGGATCAGCCGGTGAACTTCTACCGCCGCACCGTTCACGTTCGTGATCGGAATGGAGTACTAGTCCCATGCACGGTAGCTCCTCCTCACCCTTCAGTCAGCTGTCACGTGGTATCCGCCGCAAGCATGCGAGCTTCCATCATCAGAGACGACATCGAGGAGATGGGGGTGTGTTTTCTCCACGCCCTCCCACCCCATGACGCTTCACCGACGGACTCATCTTCGGATCCACGCATCACCGAGCTTCTCGACGCCTACGACAACGTGTTCGAAGGCGCGCACGGAGTAGTACCGGATCGGCCCATCCGCCACGAGATCATCCTCGAGGACGGGGCCGTACCTCCGCGCGGTTGCATCTACCGAATGAGCGAGGAAGAGTTAAGTGTGCTACGGGCACAACTCGACGATCTTCTAGAGAAAGGCTGGATACGGCCTAGCTCATCGCCATACGGTGCTCTTGTTCTCTTCGTCCGGAAAAAGAACAAGGATTTGCGGTTGTGCATCGATTATCGCAAGCTCAACGCGCAGGCGATCAGAAACGCTGGCCCTCTCCCACGCATCGACGACCTTCTCGAACGACTGGGCGGCACCAAGTTCTTCTCCAAGCTGGACCTCAAGTCGGGATATCACCAACTCGAGATTCGGAAGGAGGACCGCTACAAGACCGTGTTTAAGACGCGATATGGGCATTTCGAATGGCTGGTCATGCCATTTGGCCTTACGAATGCCCCGGCCACTTTCCAAGCGGCTATGACAACGGAGTTCCGACACATGCTGGATCGCTTCGTACTTATCTACCTCGACGACATCCTGGTGTACAGCCGGAGTTTGGACGAGCATGTGGAACTCCTGCGCACCGTTTTGGAGCGGCTACGACAAGCCAAGTACAAAGCCAACCGCAACAAGTGCGAATTTGCGCGGCAGGAGCTGGAGTACTCGGGACATTATGTGATGCCGCAAGGCATCCGTCCGCTTGCGGACAAGATCGAGGCCCTACGAGTATGGCCCGAGCCCACCAACACCACGGACGTTCGTTCATTCATGGGATTGGCGGGCTACTATCAGCAATTCATCACCGGATACTCGAGGATTGCTGCACCTATGACGAGATTACAATCGCCAAAGGTGCCATTCGTATTCGATGACGACGCACGCCGGTCATTCCAAGCACTTAAGACGGCTATGCTCACGGCACCCGTCCTTAGCATCTATGACCCCACCCTGCCTACGAGAGTGACGACTGACGCTTCCGGCTATGGCATTGGGGCAGTCTTGGAACAACACGACGGCGACGACTGACACCCTGTGGAGTATTTCAGCCACAAAGTGCCTCCCATCAACTCGCTTGATGATGCAAGGAAGAAGGAGCTGCTCGCRTTCGTGATGGCTCTCAAGCGCTGGCGGCACTTCCTCCTTGGGCGTCGTAGGTTCACGTGGGTCACARACAACAATCCATTGACCTACTACAAGGCGCAGGATACGGTGAGCAGCACGATCGGACGATGGATGTACTTCATCGACCAATTTGACTTCACAACGAAACATCTTCCCGGCCTCTCCAATCACGCAGCAGATGCACTCTCACGAAGACCTGATCTTTGCGCTATGACACATCATGCCTTCGCATTCAACGAGGAACTTCAGCGACACTTCATCTGGGTATATGAGTCTGATCCGAGGCTCGCCACGTTGTATGCGCAGCTATCTTCGGATCACCCGCCGGCCAGCCACTATCGCATCGCCGATGGGTACTTGCTCCTGCACTCGCGGGGCAAGGACTTACTATGTGTCCCACGCGACCGCCGTCTTCGGACTCGCCTTCTCGGCGAGTATCATGATTCGTGACTCGCCGGCCATTTCGGAGTCAACCGCACTATTGCACGGCTTCGACAGCGATTCCAATGGCCTGACCTCATCACCGACGTCACGAGGTATTGCGACTCTTGCGAAGTTTGCCGACGAAGCAAACCCCGCAACCGCAACCCCTACGGCGAGCTGCGCGCGATGTCGATCCCGCAGGAACCCGGTCTCTCCATTGCCATGGATGTCACCGGACCATTCCCC